TATGCTATTACTATTTATACACCTTTTCAACTAGTATATAGTAGACAAGCTACTCTACTGATCAAAACTATTATCTCTACTGAACCTATACCAGACCCTGATATGGAAATTGACCTCCAGAATAATATATTACAATAAGCCTATAAACTAATGAAAAGAATAGTCGCAATACAAAAAGAAGCTCATGTTAATACTAAGAAGTCATAACAGAAACAGAAAGAATATTTTGATGCTAGAATCAGATCAAAAGAATTTGAAATTGATGAAAAAGTTTGAATACAACTAAAGGTTTTAGAGAAGTTAAGATCAGCTAAATTTAAAGACAAAAAAGAAAGACCATTCATTATTCAAGCAAAAATAAATAATAATACATATAAACTTCAAACATTAAAAAGAAAAGTGTTATAGAAGTATTATAATAGTGACCAATTATGGTGCGAGACATCTAGTAACATCATAGTGCTGAAATTTAAAATCTATATATAATTATATATAGTAGTGCTGAATTTTAAAAAATATAGTACTAAATTTTAAAAAGTTATATAATAGTGCTGAAATTTTTTTTTAAAAAAAGTATTGTATTTAGATTTAGTAAAATATATAATATAAAGTGCTGAATTTTAGCAAAATATATAATATAAGTGCTAAATTTTAGTAAAATAAAATATTGAAAATTTTAAATTTGATAATAAAATTAGAGTTTTTAAACTAAAATAACTTTTTAATAAAAAGGTTTTTTTAAAAAAACTCTTTATAGTTATATTTCAAAGAATATTAATATAGAAAGACTTTTTTAAAAATTATTATTAGTTAAAAAGTTATTAAACTTAGTGCAAGCAATTATTTTGTAATATAACTAGATGTTCTACACTATAGCAAAGTACTATAAAAAACAGACATAGAAACCAATCATTATTATTAAAAATCTTTAATTTCTGGAAAAAATTTTATTAGATAGTAAGAGATAAAGACAAATTTTGCAAAACAGACAATCATACAACTTTAAAAATTATAAATAGACTCTTTATTCAGAATTTTCCTAATTTATATACAATTAACAATGCACAACACCATTTTGCAACCTGTAACTATCCAAGCTCTTTAATATTTTCTTACTATTTGGAAACAAAATCCTGCTGCTCAAAACAATCTAGAGATTTGTTCCCAAAGTGTTTTTTTGTAGAACTCTAATGACCCTAATAATACTAGTGATATTACTATACTAGTTAACACCACAGTGGACCTTCCATCTAACTGATCAATACAGATATCCTCTTGGATACCTTTCTAACCAAAGAACCAGAAATCAACTCAGTTTTAACCATTACTTCTCTCAAACCAGAAACTGAATCAGAAACTAAAGTTTATTAAAAGGTTTGAGACAAACTAACCTAAACTCTAACTTCTTAATCGAGCACTTACTCTAATCTATTTATCAATAAAACTTGGAAAGATCAATTAACCAAGATTATTTGATAATTAGAAAACAAAAGATATATTCACTCTAAGCAGATAAAAATTATCAAAGCTTATCTGTATTTAGGAATTTTTATCCAGAACCAGACTAATGAATGACAACAAATTTGTGAACTTTTTCAAGCTTCTTAAGGCTCTCAAAAGACTCAAGACATTTGAAAAGGAGCCACTCATCTTTAATAAATCTTTAGTATTCGACCTAAAGAGTTGTTATATCAAACTAGATACTTTATTGTTACTCATATTGTTAAGTTTACTGATAAAGAGTATCAGTCTTTAATTAAGAATTTGCAGAACAAATTTTTATAAGGGGATAAAAATGTTATAGAACAGTTTTATTTTATTAGTTTTTTATTTTATTTTAGTATTATTTTATTATTTCAATATTTATATTTATTAGTTATTATTATATTTATCTTAGAGAAGAATTTAAAAGACATGTATAATAATTAGTCTTAATGCTTAATGCTTAGGGATTAATGATTAGCGATTATGCTTAACGATTAGTGGTTACACTTAGTAATTAGCAATTACACTTAGCGATTAGTGATTAGTAATTATGTTTAGCAATTAGCAATTCATGATTAATACTTAATGCTTAATACTTAACACTTAATGATTAGCAATTACAATTAATATTTAGCATTAAATAAACTATGCTTAGCTATAACAATTAGTGATTAGCTCTAAAGATATAAAAAAGCTATAAATTTTCTAAATTAATATTAAACCTGTTATTGTCTACCTTAGACTTAGACTTTCCTCTTTCCTAAATTCTCTCTTGTAAAATTATAGAATTCTTTAAAAATAGAAATTTAAGAATAGCCTATTTTATTTATTTTTAATAAATATATATTTTATCTATAAACTATTATCTGCCTAAACTGCTATAGACAGAAAGTTATAGTTTCTAAAAGAAGTAGAAATTATACTACCTGTTAGACACCACTATAAACCTGTGAAGGATTCTTATAGCCATGTTATTGTTATAGTATTACTATTAAAAAGGCTACAGTACTGTAACAGTACTTAGGAATTCTTATTCAGAAACAGATCAATGAATAACAACAAATTCGTGAACTTCTCCAGGCTTCTTAAAGTTCTCAAAAAACCTAAGACATTTGAAAAAGAGGACCGGGATAAAATCGCCACCCAAAAAAGTATCGAACATTATGTGACAAGTATATCGAACACCAAAATCTATGTAACTTGAACAAAAAAATAAAACAAAAATTTATAGACTAACAAAATATTAACGATAAGCAATAAATTAATCATTTTATTTATTTCGAATAAATTCAGTAAACATATTATTTATTACAGCCAGAAAGTATTATGATTATGGTTTTTCTAAATATTTGGAAGATTTCATTGCCTTTTAAAATGATTATAATCCTCTTCCAATTTATGCAATGGCTCAAAGTTTTTATTGATATTATCGAGCCATTTGTTACTGTTTAGATTCATTATGTTTTCTTCAATAATTTTTTGTTGCGTCTCGAATTCAGATTTATAAAAAATTTTTACTCAAATAAATAATCAGAGTTATATTCTTTCGAAAGGAACATTAAAAATAAAATCCACAAGATTTTCTGGTGTAATTGCATTTTCTTGACTATATCTTATAATTTATTTCGATTTTCATTCTTTTTTTGATTATTATTCTGAGAATTTGGTTACGGCAATCAAGTATATTTTTAGAATATTGTGTTTATTGGATTTTATGTTTTTAAAAGAATCACTTGGTTTATCGAGATTGTATTGATCGCTTTTCACTTAATAGTTATTAATACTAAATATTGAACTTAATCATGTTCAATTGACAATATCATGATTTTCGAAACTTTTTTGGGTGGCGATTTTACCCCGGTCCGGCATTGCGGCATTACGGCATATAATATTTACGGCAATCAGGTACTGTGCCGTAATTAATTCTGCCAACTGGTAAAATGCCGTAATGCCGTAATTCAGTAATTTAGGGATGGGCAATGTAATTTTTTATGTAACCGATATGTATTTTTTAATCCTTACATATTTTGTAAATTATTACATACTATTACATAATTTTTAAGAGAAACCGATCACAGAATAAAATCATTAAGAAGTTTAAATCTGTTCTTGAAATTTTTGAAAATTTAATTAACGTTAACGGTAATTAAATTTAAATAAATTATGATATAATTTCCCATTATTACATATTGCAGCAAAAATTTAAATAATAATACATAAGAATACATAAATATTATGTAAAAAATTTGCCCATCCCTACAGTAATTCTACCACCAACTATAATCTGAACTAGGAAAAATAACCGAACGAATTCTTAGTACACTGTAAATAATTAATAATTTTTTATATGTATGTTTTTATCAGGCTAACTTAATTTATATTATACATTTAGAGGAAATGTGTGGAATAATCCGGTCTTCGAGATGAGCACGTCCCGTAATATGCAAAGTGAAGGGACTTACATTACTGATATAATCATGCCTTTACTTCGGGCAACTCTGAGTGACCTACCAAATGGCTGTATATGTTTAAGTACAGCTGAACGCCAAAGCTTGGCAAGTAAGGCGCGTAGAAACAATGGAATAGGCAAGGAAAAAATAGGTAAAAAGCCGGATATAATGGCGCTAGAAAAATGTAATGAAAAATTAGTAGAATTTTTATTTGCAGAATGTTCGCGTGTCTTCTGCAGTGACACTAAAAAAGAAGAGGATGATATAAAATTATGGAGAGAATTGCTGGATGGGAGTAGCTATATAAATTCTGCATGTAGGCCTATTCATAATCTGGTGTAGTTGGCTGGCGAGAGAATATATTTAAATGTTCTTGTGAATGATACAAATGAAATACCAAGATACTTCCACCTGGATCATGCAGATATCCCATTAACTTCGAACATGTCATGGCGTGTAGAGCCTCTTATACGATTATTGTTAACCTTAAGAAATATCATAATTGTGAATAAGAGTTTGCTCACGCAGACGTTAGAGCAAGCTATTTCACATCCGCCTCGAAATGTTCACATGAGTCCCACTGTCTCTTCACCACGTAGAGAAGAACAGGGACAAAAAAGACCCAGGAAGAATAATAAAACCAGAAGGTTGACTAAACAGAAAAGTGCATATTTTTAGAAAATATCCTAAATCCGTTTTGTAATATTTTTTATATAATAAAGCTAGTTCTGGTGGTTGATTTCATTGTATACATAATTGCGTTTACTTTTTCATGTGTATTTCATGAATTTATTTTATTGTATTTTTTTGATGTCTGTTAACTTGCATATTATCAGGAATTTTTCTTGGCATCTGCGTTACAAAAAATAACGCTCACATGATTTTTAATCTGCTGATGTTTTTTCTGTATTGGTATGATTATTTGAATGTATACATATATTATATTAAAAAATGGCAAATACACAATCCAAAACCGATTTATTAGAACAGATTTCCAAGCTTGTAGCTAAAAATACCGAACTTAAAAAGGAGAAGGCTGAATTCTTGGTTAAGGAAACAGGACTTATGGCTAGAATTGTAGAATTAGAACAATCCGCAAAAGAAAGTGCAGAAAACACGAAATTAAGAGATGTTGAAATCAACGAGCTTAGATCCAGAGTTTCGAAATTAGAACAGAAGAATTTGCAAAATGATAAAGAAACAAGCATATATAAATCATACAAAGATACCAATCAATCTTCAGTTAATGACATCTCTACTGAAATGGAAAATTCTAATGATGTATCTTCAGAGGTGATCTCTCAAAGTGAAAATGCTCCGGTATCTGATATACCTGAAAACATTTCAAATTCTGATATATCTGGTAACACCCCAAATTCTGAAGTACATCAGGAGTCTTCATCTTAACTAGAAGTTGGTTTACACAAATATTCCGCACCGCTTATTTGCACAGAGATTAAATTATCGGAAGACAAAGAAATAGATGAATTCCTGGGTTCAACATATAAGGAACAGGTTAGTAATAAGATAATCCAGAGCATTAAGGAAAAGAAGCTTCAAGATCAAGAGTTACTCTCAACTCCTAATAATAATACTTTTAATATTTTGTGTAAACAAGGTTTAATACAAAAAAATGCCAAGAAATTTCTGTTACTAAAAATCACGAAAAATCTTCTGATCAAATTTCCGATATGTTTAGTAATAAAATCCCAGAACAAAATATCGAACTTATTGATTTCTCTAATAAACCATTAACAAATCTAATTATAGAACAAGAATTACAGCAACAGATTGCCATGTCGACTAAAAGTAATAATTCATCTATGGTAGTTGAAAACTCAATGCAAGATATTGACATTTTTATCAATGATTTGTCTCCAGTTTCAGCGCAGACCATAGTATGCATATTTCGAAAAGTGATTCGTTCTAGTCAAGATACAATTTTATATTGGTATCACTTTGCTGGAAAATATGACAGAAGAATAGATGAAGTTTCTGTTAGTAACAAAGTCGGTAAGAAAAAAGCAACCAGCTTAGTATATCATGAAATTAAACAGCTTCTACCAGACATAACAGATGTGAATTTACGACATAAAATTCTCAAAGCTAGAAAAATTAGAACACTTTTCATTGCGGTAGGAATAGAAAAAATTAGACAAGTTTCATATAGTGCAAATGCAATTTCTAGCCTTAGTTATACATTAGTGATTACATTACCCAAGTCTAATGCCAGTTTTTTTTTCAAAAAGCAACTCCGCTTGGTCATAAGTTCTAAACACTGAGCCTATTTTGTTATTTTTTCTGATAAAATTAACCCCCTTAGATTCGATGATTACAAAGTAGGTTTAGATCTAACGATCTCGGAGATGATAGAGATTCCAAGTTTATACAACATATGAATTTTGATAAAACTACTGATAAAGAACATTATACTCATTGCCTTTATAGCCTTTTTAAGTCTTATTCTTATCGTAGGATAGTATAAAGTAATGAAAAGGGTCTAGGTATTATTCATAATATTCGTTAAAAATCGACTGTGAGAATTAATTCTGCAGAAGAGTAATACAGCATAAAATTTAATGCAGGCCAGTCTTTAATCTCATGATTAGGCGAACCATCACAGAACAGAAAATTTTTATTAAGGTAGAGTACACATCGATCATTTTTATTATAAATTCATTGATCAAAAAAAAAAATTATATATATTAAAAATTCGTCGCTAGTAACAAATTTTCAAAATGCTGTAAATTCTTACTAAAACCTTGTAATATATAGATTAGACCTTTCTATTAGCAGCAGTAAAGCTTTAAACTTTCATACTATTTGAAAAAATTGAAGCGCTTATATGATCAAGTCTTCCGAGATCGACTAATAATCTTCTTAGGTAGCACAAAAAAAAAAAATCGATTAATTTTCTAGAACTATAAGAATTTCAATCGTTAAACCAAATTTAGAAACGTTACCCCTGTTTCAAAAAATCACAAAACTAATATAACAATAACCTGTAACTTATAGTTATCGTTATTTGTTGCTTTTTTTTAGGATTAGTTAGCAAATTATAATTATATTTCTTTTATTTCTTAGCTTCAAAATAGAATCTTTCCTTGTTTCTTTTACTCCTCTTTCTTCTGTCACTATCTTCACCGCTTTATGTAAGCGGGTTGAGGCAGGAGAATAGACAGATAATAAAGGAGAAGAATTAGAGAACTTTCTAAAAATGCTTTATAGTGTGATTCAATCTGTCAAAGATAGGTCGAGGCTTGAACAGCTTTATAAGTTCGGAAAAGGCGATCTTTTGAAACAACGCATAAGCTATTACAGTTGTTATTAGTTTGGAGCAAATACACCCAATATGATGAAAAATTGGTTTTTTTGGAGAGTTATAGAAATATTTATGGTAATTGAGGGATATGGTTCAAAATTTTTATAACTCCTCGTTACCGATATGAATGATGCATAATGTAGTATATGAATAGTGAATGGACTTCAGTTTCTCGAGTAATATTGAGAGGGCGTTGGGAGTAGCTATTTATATACACAAAATGCTTTATGCAGATTTCTTAAGGTATATTTTATTACTAGCCGGCTAGTTTTGAAATTTATATAAAAAAAGAAAACCAATCTGATTGCATATACATGGATATTACTGCATAATTAGCTTTATTTGGATAATTTATTTTTTTTTTCTTATTTCAGATTTCGGACACATTCGAATACGGTTGTTCTTCATTAGAGTTGGACGTCCTAGTATATTGATTCAGTTATATTTTGAAAATCTAATCAAATTTTATGATAAAAAAAATATATACACGTTTATAGAATGTGGAAATTCCTTGGATAGTTGATGCGAAGAAGAATTTCAAAAATCTGAAAGAAATCGTGCAACAGGTTTGTTTTTGTAAAAATTGGTTTGTTTAAGAAATTCTTTGTAAATTAACTAATAAATCTGTAATTAGTTGGCATCGGAAACATCAGGGAACGAAAAGAATATGTGGGAAGAAATAGAAGATCAGTTGTATAAAATAGATGTGGAGAAGTTGGGATACAACCACCCATTATACTCAGAAATCCTAGATGAAAGTTTTAAACCATTTATGAATATGACTAAACAATCTATAGAAATTTTTAGAGATTCGAGAAAAAATTTCATATTGCCTACGAGTACTATGTTAAAGGATATTTGCGAAAAGTTTGTTCAAGAGAAACAAGAAAAGTATAATAGACCTTCTCGAGTATATGGGGATGCAATATTTGGTAAATTTTTAGATGAACCCGAGAAATTGAGAGAACTAACAAATCAGATTTTGACAGTTTTAAATCAAGTTTGGTCTTCTCCCAAATGGAAGACATGTAAGGAAAGCCAATTGTCTCTCATAAATGAGGGGTCATATGTGTCAGAGGTTTTATCGCCATTAATAAATGTTATAATGAGTGATTTACCTGTAGATTCTGATGTATGGGGAATATGGTATGATTTATTTTTTATTTTCTTTTTACATATTATTTAAAATACTAATACTTTTAAATGAAAAAGGGGAGAAAAAGCGAGCTCAGCCAGTGCAGAAAGGAAGGGGTTATATCAACGAGCAAGACATCCTGATTATATGGTTGTTGCTCAAGTGTCTAATGTAGAAGTTGAGATTGGATATCTTGAAACAGGTCGTCCAAAATCATCTCTAGACAAACAAATATGAGATCACAAAAAACTCAACAGGCTTGGCAAAGATTCTATTGATGTAATTAAGTTATCAAAGCATAAGAGAAAATTTGAAAAATTGGCGATAAGATACATGTCAATATTTCAATCAACGTTGCCGGAGATGTTGTGGAGTTTCGTCATATATACAAGGAATCTAGTTTATATAGAGTCTTGTTACTTGATAAAGTGAAAATTCCATTAAAACTTCTATTAACGACCCCGGCGGGTGTTTACTCTTTCATCCATGCCCTTCTTTCTTTTAGAACAGCGATTGCATGTACTGTGCGTAAATATTGAATAGTTCTGAGGATTCTATGGAGCTGGAATCGGCTATTTCAGAATCCTCAGAAATGTCAATTACTGTT